GACGTAAATTATACATTCAATCAATCACTATAAAAACTTTGAATACGTTCTTCTTCTGTTGCCACTATAGCCTAGGGATGGCTAAGGCCTTCCCAAGAACCTTCCTCCATTCCGATCTCGTCGCTTAACAACAGTTCTCCAATTAATCACTGCTAAAACTTTAAAATCGACCTCCACATAATCAGCCCATCTCAATTTGGGCTCTACCCCTAGTTCTAGCTCCAATAGGTCTGTAACTGAAAATTCTGAATGTCAAGAATGAGGGGTCCATAAGGCAGATGGGACCCGCAAACGACCCATCTTGATGGATTAAAGGACATCTCCTTCCTTAAATAGCTTATAAAGTTCAAAATTATGTCATTGTCTCCACAATCCATTCTCATTCATAGCACCAAAGATATATCTAAGAACCTTACGCTCAATTGATTGATTGAATATTAACGTCGCATTGTTCAGCTACACGAGGGCTTTTGGCAACGGACCACGTAATTTTGAACCATGGTCAAGTGACGTGGACGACACCTGAGCTGGCACCCCCCTCTCCTAACTACCACACCAATGAGAGGACGTTTCAGCTCTCGACAGATTTAACGAACATCGCTGCCCTACATGGCAGATCTCTAGTGGTACTGGGCTCGAACTCGTGACAAGGAAAGCCACGATCCGATACCTATACCACTCGGCTACCGCGGCCTACCTTACGCTCAAAGATGGCTAGTGGTTTAGTCTGTGATTTAGTCCAATTCCAGGTTTCAGATCCATATTTTGAATACGTTCCTATGCAGTGGCCCACACAGGAATATTTCAAGAAAGAGAAGGGGGTCCAGGGTTGAAAGTTCACCATTCACGTATTATGTTCCGCCATATTCTTTTGATTTTTGTCAATTTTCAAAAAACAGTAAAAAATTAATTATTGAATAAATAATTTGCATTTATTAATAACAAATACTTAATTAAATACGTACTATATGTATAGTAATATAATCCATCGAGAAAAAATCGAGGGACCCGGACTCCTTGTGTGCATCACTGTTACTATGTGTAAAATTCTTTTGATGATTGAGCTATATTCTGGTTTCTTTTATTTTTAAATAGTTCTTCTGTTAAGCAAAAATATTACAATCGACACACAAATCGTGATAAAATAAAGATATAATTTCTTTGCATTCTAAAAACTCATTAAATAATTAATTAGTAAAGGAGAAATAATGCTTTTCCCACAGTAAACACGATGATTTGGAAAAATACATATGTGTGTTTGTGTGCGTGCACGCAAACATACATACGGGAATCTAAATGCGCTCATAATTGTAATATTTCTGTAAAAAAGTATCCCAATTTTCCCTAAATTTTACAGGGCAGTTACCGATTACTTTTGAATTCTGAATAAAAAATGTAACAAATAAATATAACCTTAAGAATCTGTCATACAAAGAAAATCCATAGAGAGACATCTATTCGTTTTTTAAAGTACAGAATAATGCTCGAAAATAGAAGAATGTATTGAAATATTCATAAACACATCAACGTCTGCACTATACAAACCCAACAAATATTTTTATACTTTATTAAAATTCAACTTATTTACCGAAGAATTTATTTATATGTTCGCTTCAAGATTTCGCTTATAATTTAGAAATAAAGAATTAAAGTAATTTATGAGCATTAATATGTTTTTAGTTTTGGGGTTTAAATGAAAAGAAAAAGAATCTTGTTTATCTGAGAGAGAATGCACATTTTCTAGTTTATTATAATTATTATTCTGTGCTCATACAGATATTTTTTGAGAAAATTTTGTTGTAAAAGAATAAGATATTTTATGAAGAGTAACCAGTTAATTTGTCAAGTATATTTTTATTTACAAGAGCTTTCCACAGTCTGGCACAAAAATACGAAACAAAAAAATTGTTCAACAGAAATATTGACGTCATAAACACTGCTTACAATGTAAGAAGTAATAGTTAACCTTAAACATATATATTGCTTTCTGTTCACGGCCCATTGAAGACATTTGTTTCTTTGTCGAGGGGAGTGATTACAGAGAAATCTGCCTAAAGAGGAAAAGGAGACGATTATTCAAAACCTGTCATTTAAAATATTTTAAAAAAAGGAAGCAAATATTAAGGAGTGATATGAATTTTTTAGAAAGAGAATTTTTGCAACAAGGACATTTGATTTCATATATACTCTCCTTATACTGATACAAAACAAAACTAAAATTTTACTGCATTAGATTCAAACAAAGTAGACCTGAAGTTAAAAATGCAAAATTGATTATTTCTACTTGTAAATTATTCAAGAGAGTTTCATTAACAAAACATATTTTACAATTATTTCTTTAATTAAATTATTACATACATATTACTTTAAGAAAATTTCTCCCAAGTTTAACTGCATAGCTGGATATATTATATTGTGTTGTCGTTTCTTACGCCACCTGATCTCGACTGCGTCAGATTCAGGTCCATGAAATTCATCATGACAAGGGCCTTAATGCCTGTCGTTGGCCGTAGCCCTGAGCACCATACAGGTGACAATACGATTTTGCTCAGTTCCACCAAAATTTTGAGGGAGAACACACCCCCTGGGGGAGGGTCAGGGGCCTCGCACTTTTCTTCCCCTTCCACCAACCTCCCGAGAGAATTTGTGGCTCGACGGCTTTTTAGAGCACCCCCATGCGCGAAGGCACTATACATTTATAAACATCCAAGTCTTCTCCGGGATTCAAACCCAGGTCCTACAGCACATCAGTCAGTGTCGTTAACCACTATAACGGATGGGAGACAGATTATATTGTTTTTCATATGATGACTGTGACTCTGTGTATAGTCATCAATACTACACAGAAATGTCTTTACCAAAAGGTTCAATAAAATATTTTTTAAATTATAATGAATGATGTTCCAAATATGTTTATTTCTTGCCAACTAGAGAGAAACCCACCCTTAAGAACTAGGCACTGTCTCAATCGACGCAATATGAATGCTTAGTCAATAGGAACAAGAATGATGGCAAATTTAACAGCAGATTTATATATATATATATAAGTTAAACACCAACTTAACAATGATTCTATTAAAACATTATATGAGATATCTGAAATACAACTTCAATTATGGTTCTTCAAAAAGTATTTTACAGCTAAATATTTCAAAGACTGTTTCAAGTATAATAACAAGTAACTTAGTTTCGACGGATTGATTACAAATATTATAAACCAGAAGCACCTCTCTTATAGGAGGAGGTTACATTCTCATGAAACACATAGACGAAAACGTCGAATGGTAATCTCCGATAAAATTAAAATCTGTTGGTCTTTGAGGGTCTCCCAACTTTCCTGTTGTACGCTGCTGCTATAAACATATAAATTTAAGAATATCTGTAGCTCAACTGATCAGAAGTCATTTCTGTACACAATTGAAATCGGTGGCATACACAGATTACTTTCATAGGGTCGATTGTGTGTGTGTATTTGTTAAAAAAACGTAGACAAAAGCACCTAGACATAATCTGTACCCTAAAAATTATAGATCTGTTGAGCTATGGAAGTGGTTTGAACTCCCAAATCCCGACCTTTGTATGCCACAGACTGAAATTATTCTGAGGATGGGAAACCACAGATAAGCCGAACGTGTTCAGCATTGGAAGTTGAAAATCCTCAAAGCAGTCTTCCCTATTTCCCAGATAATTACTCAAAGTGGAGAAGTGTATGAGATAATGAAGCGAAGGAATCAGAAGTGAAACCGAATTACAACCTCTAAATAACCGTTCCAGACTAGACCCCTTGCCCTCTGGAGCGACGGATGGACAGACATCCAACAGAAGGGGACAGCAGTATCGACCGGCTTTCCTTTTCCAGAAAGCAAGGCATGTGCATGCCAGTCACATCCGGGCATTTCCTCCATTGTTTGAGGCGGTACTGTCAATCATTCGTCACCCTGACAGTCCAGAATGTCATTCGGGACATTCTCTCCTCCTCCGCTCCTTCTCTCTATCGTTCTCTTTTCTCTTACCTCACTGGGAGAGACATTTTAACGTGCTCGTGACAGGATAGAACGAAACGGAGGGGTAGACAAAAGGGAAGAAGAAGAGAACGAACGATCCAAAGGGATTTGCATGCAAAGTGTAAAGTTTATACGAAGTGCGTGTTTTATTTTACTTCGCTTCCTTTTTTTTCTACATCTATCTATCCATCCTACTCCTTACTCTTACCACCCTCCGGCGAGCTTTCGAACGATTTTGAGGTTGAAGAGTGCTAGCGAGCGACTTAGGTATACACTCTCGCGTTACACCCACTGCCGAAGAAATTAGTTCCAGTTCGTTTCATTTCCGACTCTAATTTATCAGACGATCGAGTGTTAGTGATTTCTTGCCCCCGAGCTGTTGTAGGTTTTAAAATCTCTCCCAGGGAAGAATTTTCACGAGAGCTGCTAATTCAGCAAATGGAATGAGAGAGAGAGGAGTGGGAAATATTTGGCGCGAAATAATGATCAAGGCAGAGTACTTCAGACATTTGATATCATCCGAATCGATTTTAGAATCTCTTGTGCAAACATCAAGATGGGAGTAGATACATATGCGTCACTCGATGGAATATGGATGGCAATTATTTGAGAATTTTACATGGATGCACAATATAGCACTTTATGGATCTGTTCTCGAACTGAAATTAAAATGTAAATCAATAAAATTGATTTAAATTAAGTAATATAAAAAAAATTTTGAAGTCCATTCCTGCTTAGGTCAACAAAGAACAATTTTATTTTTGTTACTTTTTGTTAAATAATTATAATTAATATAAATATGTATATACATATGGCAAATCACAATATTAAGTAACAAAATAGAAATCGATTTTCCTCGCAATTTTTCATTTTCCTTTCTATATATCGGGTGTTGGACTATTATTACTTTTGCTTGTTACTATTTATTCATTCATTAAATTTAATTATTTCAAAAAATAGTGCAGTAAAAAGAAATCACATTCAGAGAAATTAAGCTGTTCCAGGTGGGATTCGAAACCACGACTTTGGGATTAAAAGTCCAACGCACTATACATCGTGCTACAGGGACACAACAAACGATTTGCCTTTTTATATATGCTGTTGGACTATTATTTTTTGTTTGCTACTATTTATTCATTTTTTAATTTAATTAATGAATTAATATTTGAAAAAACTGTATTAACATCAAGTGTCATCCGCTACAAGTTAAAAAAAATGTATTTGAACTTGAATGGATGAATAGGAAGTATTTTATTTACGATTAAAAATTTAAAAGAGATACACACACACACACACACATATATATATATAATATATATATATATATATTCACTTAATTCAGTGGCGCGACAGCCCATGAGGGTCAATGCCTACTGTGCCCAACTCAGTATACGCGACCATGGGCCTGAGGTGCATGAGCAGATGTTCAGTCTGACTCGATCAGGTGGACTGACTCAGTACACCGACACAGATCAGGAGGTCAGTCTGACGCGAAACCTACAGTGTTAAGTTCCCAAGCAAGCTTGATACTCATTTATTGAGTCACTGAAGAGGGATAAAAATTTGAGTCAGCTTTATATATATATAGGAGAGAGTAAGCTAATGGTAGAAATTGAAAAATATCCAAAAAATGTTATCTATTTTTTTTATAAAAAACAGTCAGAAGCAAAAAGCGTCATTTTAATCATCACAACAAATACTAATGAAATAAGTTAAAGGCGAACAATATTCTAGTCTCCCACAACAATATTTTTATATAAATACCATCGCGTACCAGTATTGATTACACAGTACACGCCACCCTCCTCTTCATTTTTATGGATACGACCCCTCATAACAATGCTTAATCAACTAGGTGTTGCAATTCACATCTCCAAGATCTTCGGAATCTTTTTCAGCGATCCCCTCCCCCCTTCCCAGCGAAGAATTCCGAAGCTCCACCCCCAACATCGCTTCATTACGCGAGATGGTTTACACAGCTAAGGCCTGCAATTAAATTAGAGCTGGAAGCCGCCGCCGAACCAGATTACTGCAGCCCCCCTAGCAATTTTTACGTCTTTTTTTATTGCGTGGGGTACCCTTATTTATAGACATCCAGTCCCCCTCTTTTATGGGATAAAGGGGGATAATTTTTGAACGGTTCGCACGTTATATATGGGTATATAGATAGATATATAGGAACGGTTATCTTTCGACTGGGGTGTAAATTTCTTTGGAGGAGTGCTCTTCTTTCCTTCTTAAAGCTCTCCCTTCTCGCTTTTAATTTTACAGCTTGATTTAAAACAGAAGGGCATTCCGGTTGATAGAAAGAAGTAAATGTCAACGCTACTGGCGGTCGGCGCGTGATATACTGGGAGTGTAAAGTGTTCTGTTTAAAAAATATCGATGACAGTTGTTGCAGTATTGCTCCGAAAGGATGAAATAAATTAATCAGCATAAGGGGTTGCTCAACCCCAGGTAAGGAGAGACTCTCCGCTCCATGTTATCCGTTTTAGTTATAATGAGAAGATTAAAAAGTAAAAACTGAGTGTGTGAAATGATTTAACTGATAAATGGATAACTGATCGGTTCAAACTATTTTCCAGATGTCATGTATCGGACAGAAACGCTTATGTCATTATTTTGTTCTTGGAAAGTAGCTGTGTCTTTTTATTAGTAACACAGCAAAGCAACGAATCAATTGAACATATTTCTTTCGGCGTCTATTTTTAATTCGAATACCATTTAAAGTAGTTAAAATAACGAATAATGGATCATGATTTGTAACGGGTTCTACTAGCGATTCATACTAATCCTCAGGGAAGTCTTAAGACTCCTTTGCGGCCCTGGGTCCCTACACAAATGTAGGCCCTGGGAACCTAGGCAAAAGTAGGCCCTGGGACCCTGCGAGAAAATTGGCCCTAGGCTAATACAAAAAAGTAGGCCCTGGGCCCCTACGTAAATGAAGGTCCCACATGTGATCCTTAAAAGCAGACAGTACATTGTATGTATAGTCAAACACTTGTACCAAAAGGTAACCTGAAAATAAATAAATGTGCATGATTTACAATCGCGCAAACCGGCTCGACTTATACATGGACAACGGTCATCACATATACCCAGTTGACATATCGGCCGAAATTCCCAGTTTTTCAAAGAATACAACTGAAAAAAAAAACATTTGACGTTGAAATTATTCGAATCATTATCTTATCAAGGCTGAATCGAGAACGGGATGAGGCCCCCATTGTGGCGGAGGTCCTAGGCCCGGGGCCAGTTGGCCCATGCCTTAAGACGTCTCTGCCCCTCCTCCAGGGTAAATATTTTCGCTGGAGTTATATGAATATAAATGTTCTTTCTGTAAAAGAACCGTGATTTATGTTACTGAGGGTTGCGATTTAAAGTCAAAAGTTCAAAAAAGAGGTAATAGAAGTTAAAAGTCATTGCTAGAGCTTTTTTATTAATTTAAAAGAGTAATATAAAAATGTATACACAAAATGTATACACAAAAATGTACCACACTAAAATATTTGTGGTTTGTTACTAAAAGTGACGTATTTGAAGATGTCTTCCATTTTTCTCTGTTCATCTGTTGTTGAAGAATAAGACTTTAAATTCATCGCATTTTTTTTCAAACTGAATACTAATAATATATAAATCCTGTCTGAATAATTATAAGCAAAGAGCAATATATTTTATTATATAACTCATTCCCCTATACAAAAACACTATCCACTTTTCTCACTACAAACTATGTTCTATACGTTTATGATATTCCAGTAAAAAAAGAAAAAGAAAAACCATTGTACATTGATTAAACAACTCAAATCTTTGAGGAGACAGTGTAATAATGGAAAACATGCAATATATAACCACAAGAACTTTTTTTTTTTAAATTATGTTTTAAATTTCGGTCCTATTGAGAATAACTTGAATGAAATATTGGATAAATGCGAGAGAAATGCATTTGACTGAATACTGAAACTTTCAGAAACAAATTCTCTCGAAACAGGTATAAATGAAAAAGTTAGGTCATAAACACACACACACAAAAGCATTTACAAATTCTTAATAAACTTATTTTAAAGATTCCATTAGTATAGATCTTGATTTACGTAGAAAAATAAAATAGGTGAGCAATAAAAGTCGAACGCTTCTCAAACACCTGTTATTAAAAATGTTAACATTCAAACGATTGATTGAAGTTGAAGCACAATAATTCTTTTTAATTGTTCGTAACCACACATTACTACAGAAAGAGTGGTCAGCATCTCTCTCGAAACAATGGAGTAGGACACCAAGGGACAAACTGTGGGAAGGAGGGACAAAAAAATGCATAAAAGGATACAAAAAAATGCATAAAAGGATACATATGATATTTTTCCGTGAACCAAACTTATTGGTTCGAATTACTTTCAGTTCAGAAGGTGAATGCAAAGAGAAAAAACGTCCAAAATGGTGTCAAGGAGAGAGTAAGATTTCCTACAAGTTAAACAATATGAGATCATATTTCATAAGAGGAAGTTTCATTTAACAGGCAGAAGTTTATGAATATTTCTGCAAATGCACGTATGTGTAAAAATTAATCAAGAAATACAGTTATAGTTTCGGAGAAAAATTTGACTCAAACAACTAAGACGTTTTTCAAACTGATTCTGTGTGTTTCCAGATTGTTAAATAATATATCTCTGCATACAATTTTGAAAAAACACACAGATATTTAAATATATATATATATATATATATTTATGTAATTTTATTACCTTGCGCGCTCGCGCGTTCAAATAATATTTAAAAAACTCAATAATAATATACAATAATTTTCTCATAATAAAATGTAAAATAGGCTTAAGAGAGAGAACTAAGACATCATACACATTCAAAAAATCAATTTTTTTAAATTTTAGTAAATAACATTAGTAATAGCGCATATTTTTCTGAATCTAAAAATGTATAACACTTATATGTTCGTTGATAAAATAACTTTAAAATATGAAAAAGTAATTGACAAAAATGTAAACAAACGCTTACAAATGTTCAGTTTTTTCACTTTTTCTCCAAAGTATAACTTTTTGCTTTTAGATACCCTTTAAAAAAAAACTATTGCTCTATATAGGGTTCAAATCTTCCATATAGGATACACCTGTGCACATAGTGAACTATTTTTTTCAGTCGAAGTAGTACATAGTTAAAAATAGTTTTATGTATGAAAGGGGAAGGGGAGAATAGAAATTTTCAAAAATAAAAAGTTTTTAAATTGTTTTAAAGAAACTACCTTAATATTTTACTAAAAAAATAGATTTGCTATATTTTGTGTATTGTTTTATATATTTGCAAAAATATTTTATATATTTAAGAGATTCTTTTTTAAAAAATAGTACCTAAACGTGAGCGTGTATTATGAGATCTCAAAAATTATGTCCAACTTAAATTACACAGAAAAAAAAATTTTTTTAAACTAAAAACTTTTTTGTATTTCTACATAATAATTGAAATATTTTTATTAAGATAAAAAAAATCAAAGCTCTATTGGAAATTTTTAAAGATACATGTCCTATAAACAGTCTTACTTTTGGCATTTTACTCCTTCGAGCATGTCCTGGTGCCCTTAATATATGTAATGAAGTTATATGGAGCACGAAAGATAATTTTATATCGATGATTAATTATTTATAATAGCTAGTAGAATTGTAAGGGCGCAATATATACAATGGTGTACACAAGGGTGAAGTTTTGGGTTCACAGACAACATATTTTTAATTTTTAAATTAGAGAGTATGCCTTTGCGCTTTCGCGCGCGTTTACACGTTGTTAAGAATACAATCTACCCCTTCCACCCCCATAAAAGAGAGGTCTGTGTGCGCGTGTGCATTTATACACATAAATTAAAACAAATTTCTAGAAATCGTTAAGAAAATCATGCTTGTATAAAACTTTATTAAAAGATTAATAATATCCAATTAGAACAGATGTTTTTTAAAATCAAAACCATTATTTTTGATAAATAGAAGTATAATATTTTCTAGAGAAAAATGAAAAAGAAAAAACATTTCAATCGTATTTGGAGATAATTAGATCACTTTGTAGGTG